ATCATATTTATTCACATGGCCAGAGACCTGGTGCCAAATTCAACTGCAGTCTCCAACTCCAGATAACATAGAATGCCAACATGATACAGAGAAAACATGCTCAACTCTACATCTACCCAATACCCTGTTCTAAGATCATCTGAGCTCCGGTCTCAATTCCCAAAAAGGGTTTCCCTTCCAATAATATTCCTGCCCTTTCCATTCACATGGTTTGCTACAAGTGAAAGGGAAAATTCCCCAGCTTGATGGGAAAGGAAGATTTTAAGTGGCCGCAGATCAGTAGTGGGTGGAGCCGCATGTAAAAATGGGTGGAGCGAGAAATGCAAATTTCACCTTTGTACAGTAGGCTAGTTTCTTGTCTACCAGGTAAATGCTTTAAAATTGAGAGGATCGGCTCCATTCTAAACCCATCATAATGATGGCAATGAACAACAGCATAAGAAAACTAGTTTGATGGCAGCCTTCCTCACAAGGTGATCATCTTTCTTCCAACAGAGCCTGGTTATAATCGACCCTCTGTTAGAAGGAATAGGATTGGTTTGAGAAGATATTGAATTATTTGGGTAGGTTTGAACAATTTGGGGCAATTAAAATGTTAAAAGTTAAATAAACCTTGTGGAGGGAGGAGTGTTAAGGTATACAGAATTGTACATATGGCTGATTTGAATATGTTATTATTGATTATGTATACCCAATGCATCAGCCGCCTGGGGGTTTTCACTGTTTGTTTTCACTGTTTGTGTTTCGGTTGTTGGTAAAAAAATAAAAATAAAAAATAAAAAATAAAATAAAATAAAATAATCGACCCTCCATTAAAGCTACTGGCAGAGAACTGAAGTCTGCCAGAGTTTGAAAGTTCTTCACAGTTCAGGAGGAGAAAGAAAGATGAAATATTTCTACATCAGATACAAATTTCCAATCATACCATCCCCAAATGTGCTGGAGGTTAGACAGGTACCGTATTTTTCGCTCTATAAGACGCACCAGACCACAAGACGCACCTACTTTTTGGAGGAGGAGAACTAGAAAAAAATATTCTGAATCTCAGAAGCCAGAACAGCAAGAGGGATCACTGCGCAGTGAAAGCAGCAATCCCTCTTGCTGTTCTGGCTTCTGGGATAGTTGCACAGCCTGCATCCACTCCATAAGACGCACACACATTTCCCCTTACTTTTTAGGAGGGAAAAAGTGAGTCTTATAGAGCAAAAAATACAGTACATAAACAGGTTGATTGTGGGCAATAGGGTTTTTTTTTTAACCTCATTGAATTTCCCCTGAAAAGAGGAAACCCAAATCAAAGGGGTGTGGGGTGGAGATGGCATGACATTTAGATGCTGTTGGTGGCTGGTGGGTGCCTTGCTTGAGATGGCCCCATCTCACCCCAAACGACCATCTGGAGGCCCACTGAGTCACTCACCTGTCCAGCTGGAAGAACGTTCTCATATATTTGAGGGGTGGATACAACCTGGGTGGAGGTTTGGCCATTTCGACGACAGACACCTGGAGGAGGGAGAAGTCCGGGAATAAACTCGTAATGTGGACCTCATATCCTACAACAGACCTTACAAATCTACCCCCAAGAGCAGGGTAACATCAAGCAAACTGCAGCAAGACCATTTCTTTATGCTTTTTAAGAAGCATCTTGTCCTTAACAAGAAGGAGAAGTGCAGTTTATTGATATTGATTGATTGCATCCTATCCCACCCTGTTCTCCAATGAGCTCAGGGTGGTCTACACAGTTCTGCTGCTCTGCATTTCAGCCTCACAACAACCCTGCAGGTTAGGCTGAGAAGCAACAACCGGCCCAAGGTCCTTCGTGGCCAAGTGGGGATTCAAACCCTGGTCTCCAGGTTCCCAGTATGACACTCTAACCATGACACCGTTTCTTACACCAGTGTGGTGTAGTGGTTAAGAGCGGTGGACTCGTAATCTGGTGAACCGGGTTTGAGTCTCCTCTCCTCCACATGCAGCTGCTGGGTGACCTTGGGCCAGTCACACTTCTCTGAAGTCTCTCAGCCCCACTCACCTCACAGAGTGTTTGTTGTGGGGGAGGAAGGGAAAAGGAGATTGTTAGACGCTTTGAGACTCCTTTGGGTAGTGATAAAGCGGGATATCAAATCCAAACTCTTCTTACACAGGCACACATGCTAGTCCCCCAACAGCTTACCGCCTAAAGGAGGTGACTCATTTAAATGTCAGTGCACTATGCCAATCATTCGGGGTTCCTTTTCCAGTCAGCAGAGTCACCCAGAAAGTCTTCTAGGATCTTCTTTCTCAGTTCACCTCATGCGTTGGTGAATTCCCACGTGGGAATAAACACCTCATCCATTTCACTTCAACTTAAAGTCTTTATTGCAGAATTAAAATTGCAACTTATAAAACTATTCGTCTAACGGAAATAAAGTAAAACTATATACAGCGAATCATTCCTCCTCTCCTCTCTTCACTTGAGTGTGTGAGCTGGGGCCACTGGTGTAGTAGGAGATTAGCAGCCCAACTTAACAATGCATATTCTTGCTAGTTAGCATGAGAAGGGGTTAAGACCACAGAGCTGTATTGCTGAGAGGCAGACCATAGAGATGTACTTGGGAGAGAGGGCTCTGTGTGATTTCATTTCCCCACCTCCCCACCCCTCTTCCTTCAACCACCAATGAGGGCTCTGCTTGCTCCAGCTCTTACACATGTCTGTGGCTGTTTTTACTGTAAATAGAAGTATTTTACCTGCATAGTTTGTTTACTGCTGCTGTTGCAGAGAACCAATGCACGGCTATAAGTAAGTAAATCATATTTTAACTTACTTCCCAGTCTGTTGCCTGATTCTTTGTCAAGAAAGGTAAGAAAGGGGGACACAGCTTACGTTGTAGCTGGGCTTTATCCAAAGAAGGCTTCGCAATTCTTATGCTTTAATTTTCTGCTAAGGATGGGATCCTAAACTCTGTTCAGCTTGTGCAAGTGGGTGCCTGGAGGTAAGGTAAAGGTACAGGGAGCCCTGACCGTTAGGCCCAGTCGCAGACGACTCTAGGGTTGCGACGCTCATCTCGCTTTATTGGCCGAGGGAGCCGCCGTACAGCTTCTGGGTCATGGGGCCAGCATGACTAAGCCACTTCTGGCAAACTATAGCAGTGCACGGAAATGCCGTTTACCTTCCCGCCAGAGTGGTACCTATTTATCTACTTGCACTTTGATGTGCTTTCGAACTGCTAGTTTGGCAGGAGCAGGGACCAAGCAACGGGAGCTCACCCCGTCGCGGGGATTCGAACTGCCACCCTTCTGATCGGCAAGCCCTAGGCTCTGTGGTTTAACCCACAGCGCCACCCGCGTCCCTGCCTGGAGGTATAAATTGCAATTCATATATCCTCTCCTAACTAGTAAAACTCATCCACCATGTTGAGAGCACCCTGCAGTCCATGGCCAGCTCTGGTTTTACTCACGGAGAAAGACGTAAGTCAGTGTTCCCACTAGCACCAATATCACAGCCAGGGACCCGATAACAGTCCCAGCGAGGGCTCCAGCAGAACCAGAAGAGGAGGAAGAAGAACCATCTGAAGAATCTGAAGAGCAAAGGACTTTTTTCATGATTTTGCATTAAGGGTTGACAATAATCTGGCCTCTCATCTCTCCCTCTAAAAGCACTAAAGGAAGGAAAGTCAATATTTTAGAATTACCCGGCTTTGGGGGCAGAGAGGCAGCAGCATGTAATGTCCAGAAATGAGTGCAACTCTTCCTGGCTCACATAAGGTTGGCTAGAAAAGAAGCCAAGGTGTTGCCCTCCCAAAGGTGAGAAATAGTTCTTCCTCGGACTCAGTGCCCAGTCTCTCTCTCTCTCTCTCTCTCTCTTTCTTTCTTTCTTTCTTTCTTTCTTTCTTTCTTTCTTTCTTTCTTTCTCTCTCTCTCTCTCTCTCTCTCTCTTTCTTTCTTTCTTTCTTTCTTTCTTTCTTTCTTTCTGAATGTTTTTAGTAAAGATTTTCTTGGTTTATGAAAGAACACGCGTTGTCTCTTTTTTCAACATACACCCTAAATATTACCACCCAACCCCCTCTCCCCACCTTCTTCTACCCCAGTCTAGCGTTATTCCTTGATCCTTCCAGCTCCCCCAAGCTCTTCTCCCACACTCAGCTATGTGGGCCGCATAACAAGCTATAGGCCCTCTGAGCATTGAAAACTGCTATCCCATACGCACCAACATTTCTCTGATGAAACACCATAATCTACCTCCACACAAAAAGCGATAGATTGTTAGAAGCCACTAGCATGGAGAGCAGAGTCAGGAGGAAAGGTGTTCCTGGTTTATTAGTGGATTACTCACACGCTATAGTTATCTTACTGGGGTTGCTTGTAGCATTACTGACAGGGTTGACTGCCTGACACGTATAGATCCCTTCGTCCTCTTTGGTGATGCCAGTTAGCATGAGGGTTCGGTTCTGGTCAGAAAGCCCAGTATTAGATGGGACAGGATTACCATCCTTGAACCAAAGGATGGAGACGTCAAAGTGGTCAGAGGTGTTGCAGTGTAAGGTGACAGTTGTGTTCTCTGCCACTAGGGATTCTGTCGGCCACAGGACCGGGTTGGAGAGGATTTCTGCAGATGAAACAGAAAGACAGTCATCTTGGTTGCTGAATCTGTTTATGGTCTCTTTAAGAGAAGCCATTAAAGAAAGCCACTTTGAGCCACTGACATGTGTTAGTGCATATTAATTGGTTTAAAAATGCTTTAAAAATGAATATAACTCCCCCCCCAAACCCCCCTCAAACATTTTCCCATTGAACAGCTAAAAAGGCAGTTGAAAGAATAGCATATTCTGGTATAGTTTTCTGATGAAAAAATGAATAATTTTGTAGGGCCTCATTCTTGGGGCAGAGGAATTGTGTTTAGGACAAATTCACAAGTTGCATCCTGCCCCAAGGGGGAAGGCACAGAGCTCTCCACCTCAGAGCGCAGCAGAGGAGATAGATTTGGGTGCATAAGAAGTAAGAATGACTGGAGAGCAAGTTAATCATACCTGAAACGGTGATGTTTGTAGCCCCTGTGCTGGTAACCCCAGGACCTTCTGGTTTAAATGAATAGATTCCAGAGTCATCTGGCTTTAAATCTGTGATGTAAAGGGAGTAAGGTGAGAAATAGTTCTTCCTCAAACTCAGTGCCCCGTCTAGTGATTTTCTCTCTTTCTTTCTGTTTTTTATTAAAGATTTTCTTGGTTTATGAAAGAACATGCGTCGTCTCTTTTTTCACGTTGTAAAGTCTTTTTTATCACCTGATGTGAGACAATTGTGCTGCATAAAACCCAATATACACCCTAAGTATTACCACCCAACCCCCTCTCCCCACCTCCTTCTACCCCAGTCTAGCGATATTCCTTGATCCTTCCAGCTCCCCCAAGCTCTTTTCCCACACTCAGGTATGTGGGCCGCATAACAAGCTATAGGCCCTTTGAGCATTGCAGTGGCGTAGCGTGGGTTGTCAGCACCCGGGGCAAGGCAAGTAATTTGCGCCCCCTAACCCGTGGATTTGCACCCCCTAACCCTAACCCCCAGATATTGTGCCCGGTGCGGCCGGCCCCCCCTGCACCCCCCACGCTACGCCACTGGAGCATTGAAAACAGCTATCCCATACGCGCCAACATTTCTCTGATGAAACACCATAATCTACCTCCACACAAAAAGCGATAGATTGTTAGAAGCCACTAGCATGGAGAGCAGAGTCAGGAGGAAAGGTGTTCCTGGTTTATTAGTGGATTACTCACATGCCAAAGTTATCTTACTGGGGTTGCTTGTAGCATTACTGACAGGGTTGACTGCCTGACACGTATAGATCCCTTCGTCCTCTTTGGTGATGCCAGTTAGCATGAGGTTTCGGTTCTGGTCAGAAAGCCCAGTCTTAGGTGGAACTGGATTACCATCCTTGAACCAAAGGATGGAGACGTCAAAGTGGTCAGAAGTGTTGCAGTGTAAGGTGACAGTTGTGTTCTCTGCCACTAGGGATTCTGTCGGCTGCAGGACTGGGTCAGAGAGGATTTCTGCAGATGAAACAGAAAGACAGTCATCATTTGTGGGTCCTCATGGTCACTGAATCAGGTTATGGTCTCTTTAAGAGAAGCCATCTGACATGTGTTGTTGTTGTTGTTTAGTTGTTTAGTTGGTCCGACTCTTCGTGACCCCATAGATCAGAGCCCTCCAGGCACCCCTGTCTTCCACTGCCTCCCGCAGTTTGGTCAAACTCATGCTGGCAGCTTTGAGAACACTATCCAACCATCTCGTCCTCTGTCATCCCCTTCTCCTTGGGCCCTCCATCTTTCCCAACATCAGGGTCTTTTCCAGGGAGTCTTCTCTTCTCATGAGGTGGTAAAAGTCTTGGAGCCTCAGCTTCAGGATCTGTCCTTCCAGTGAGCACTCAGGGCTGTTTTCCTTCAGAATGGAGAGGTTTGATCTTCTTGCAGTCCATGGGACTCTCAAGAGTCTCCTCCAACACCATATGTTAGTGCATATTAATTGGTTTAAAAATGCTTTTAAATGAATATAATTCCCCCTCCCCCCCAAAAAACCCCTCAAACATTTCCCCATTGAACAGCTAAAAAGGCAGTTGCAAGACTAGCGTATTCTGGTATAGTTTTCTGATGAAAAAATGTATAATTTTGTAGGGCCTCATTCTTGGGGCAGAGGAATTGTGTTTAGGACAAATTCACGAGCCACATCCCACCCTCCCTAAGGGGAAGGCACAGAAGTCTCCACCCCAGAGCTCAGCAGAGGAGATAGATTTGGGTGCATAAGAAGTAAGAATGACTGGAGAGCAAGTTAATCATACCTGAAACGGTGATGTTTGTAGCCCCTGTGTTGGTAACCCAAGGACCTTCTGGTTTAAATGAATAGATTCCAGAGTCATCTGGCTTTAAATCTGTGATGTAAAGGGAGAAATCTGGCTTCACAGTTTCCCTGCCAGTGTGGGCAGGTCCCTTGGTCTCGCCACTAAATGGAGGTCTGAAAAATGAAATAATCATGTTTCTTTCTTCAACTGCCCCTCTGTACCATTTGCAGCTGGCAATATTCTTCAGATCAAGACCTTCTGGTGTTAAGGTGACACTCTCTCCTTCTTTCAGCACTTCTGGAACAACTCTGATCCTTATTCCAGTTGTCTCCTGGCCTCGAGTCAACAGGAAACAGGAACTCAGGACGGAGGCTGCAGTGTGGAGAAGATAACGAAAGACATGTTCTGCTAAAGAAGAAGAAAAAAGGCATTTCCCAGAGCCATCTAACCTGTCACAACACACTCTAAATATCCCAGTTTGTAACAGTGATCCCCCCTAAGAGCTTCCTACAAACACTAAGTGTAGCCCTTACTTTACTGAGCAAGCAAGAAGGCAGTTCCTTTCCTGGCAGCTCAGCCTCAGCCTTCTTCCGGGGCAGACATGAAGAAAGGGGAAGCGCTCTTGCATTTCCCCTTCCAGGACCCTCCCATGTTTCTAGGTAAGCAAACATTAACATAAAGGGGTCCAGTGAAGGAGGTCTGGGCATCTGTCTGTGTTTACCTCCTTCAGGGACTCAGGATGATTCCTTTCTTTTCTTTATAATTTTTCGTTTTTAACAAATAAACATAATACTCTGATTTATAAATCCTATATATACTTTTGCCATACCACAAATACACATGCCAGCCAAATATATTATCATGACATTCCAAGTCTTTAATATGCGGATTCCTCAGTGACTACCATTCCTTCAACCAGCACAGACAGGAAGCTTCATAATATAATCCCATAATATAATCTTTCTTGGTTTTTACCCTTGCCAGATATATTTCAAAATATGCTTTTGACATTTATTGAAACAATCTGCCTTGCCGATCACTGCTATTGATTGAAACAAAAATAACATTCATTTTAATAAATGATTCCCTTCTTCACAGAAAGTGCTCACTGGCCACTAAGAATACTTCTACCATTCTTTTTTCTGTAAAATCTCCGCCGGGGCTCCAGCCTGCCCCTTTAGTACTACCTCTCTACCTACCTGGAGGGTCTGTATGTAACTCCATGTGCAGTCTTTCAGAACTCTTAACAGAAACCCCTGTGGAAATGGGGCCCTGATTCTGCGTCCAAGTAGGTAGGAAACTGAGGGTGCAATAGGGTGGTCCCTAGCATATAAATACATGTTTAAACAGTGGTTTTTCACTCAAAACAACAGCTTCCTCTAATTTGAATTATTGAGAACTGCACCACAACATTTGGAGAAGTATGAAATCGGGTGCAGAGTTAGGTTTCGACATCTGCATTAGTGGGAGAGATACAGATCTGAGCTAAAAGACCAAATTCCTCCAGAATCCTCAACTCCCCCCAAGTAAGTCCTCCCCATTGCAGGGTGCTGACCTCTCACCTGCTAAGGGCAGCATCTTCCAGGAGACCTTCCAGCCATGGGATCTGCATGGCCTGTCCATCTTGTTGGTGCACTTCCTGGAGAATTGATCTGGCTCTCTGTCCCTTGACAGCTCGTGCTCTGGGGGTCTTTCTCTGCTCCTTGCCTAGTATCTGGTTCCAGCACCACTGCTGCCTCCGAGTGAGTCTCTGATCAGAGAAACAGGAACTTGGCTGCTGAACTTTCAGCACTGGGTTTCCCCCCAAGGGTTGGAAATCATCCAAACAAAGCTCTTTCATTAACTTCCTTCTATGCCCTTACTAGCCAAGCCAATCCCTGAACTACTTGCTCAAATACAACTCAGCAGCACCCGCCTCAAAAAACGACAGCAAAGATGCAGTCCGGGTTGCAAGAGTACAAAGAGGGAGACTGAAACCAAGAGTTGAGTTCTTGCTGCAACCTTTGAACAATTATAGCAACACAATTCTCTCTTTGTTTTCCAGCATTTTTCCTCATCGTCCAAGACTTGTGGTTGATGTGGAGCAAGAGAGGAGGTCACTACAACCATTTAGACTTGTGTTTTGGTACCAAAAGAAGGCCTTTCTATCTCTTTCACCACCTCCCTTCTCTCTCTGTCTCCCATTGCTCTGTTCCTTCTTATAGAGTTCCTGTGTCTCTTGCAGGTGCACACCCCCTGGGTACGATTTGGATGTCCTCTCAAATGACGAAAATGGACCAGCTACTCCTTGGGTCTTTCTTCCCCATTTCTGCACATGTGTGATGTAGAGATCCTCTAGACCAAGGCGGTCCAACTGGCCCTGCCCAGCCCTCACACTGCCTTCCTATAGCCCCCCAAGCGAGGTGCCGGGCTTTGGGTGTGGGATGTGGTCCATGAGAGGCAGTCAAGTACAACATTCCTTGCAATGCTAGAGAAGACATGCGAGGGAATGTTTGGTCCAGCCAGTCGAAACTTCCTGTTCCTCCTGGCTGGAGCATCCTTCCTTTGGCATGTGATAGACGGTGGGTATGACCTAACCTGTCCCCGTAAGAAAAGGACGAGTCACACAGCACACCTCTCTCTTTTTGACCAGCTTTTAGCTAGAACTGCTCTGCTAGCTCTCAGCTAGCAGAAGCACTGGGATCATTCCCCCATATGGGGTAGATCCACATGTACATACAGTCATACCTCTTGTTATGTTAGGTTCAGGTTATGTTCTTTCAGGATACGTACTGCAGCGACCCGGAAGTAACGGGTGACTTCTGGGTTTCACCGCTCGCGCATGCAGAGACGCTCAAAATTATGTCACACGCATGCGCAGAAGTGGCGAGTTGCGACCCGCACATACGCAGACGCGGTGTGATGGCCTGGGATTCCGATTCTGAGAGTGAACAGGAGGAATCCCAACCGGCACAGGAGTCCCCGCCTCCAGGGCTGGCTGAACTGGGGCAAGGCCTGGATTCTGAGGAGCCTGCACCTGTGCCAGATCCTCAGGAGCAGGCACCAGGTGAATCCATTCTGGCCCCAGAGGTGGTTGAGGACTCAGTGTCTACAGGTGAGTCTCCCCCGGGGCCCAGTAACCCTTCGGCCTCTCCTGAACTGCAGAGGCTTAGGGCAGAGAGGTGAAGGGAACTGGTTTCTCCCAGGAGGAGTGCTCGCCTTAAGGCCAGGAGAGGCGGGGCTCCTGGGGGCCGGGACCGCCCCTGGCCTTAGAGAAGATAAAGGCCAGTCAGCCCGGTCCCAGGTTGCGGGAGCAACGTCGTCATTGAAGAGCTGTTTCGGCCAGCATCCAGACCTGATCTTCCAGTGTTCCTGTTCCCCGCCCGGCTTCCTGCTTCTGATCTTCGAGTGTTCCTGCCCCCGTCCGGCTCCCTGTTTCGGACCTCACCTCGCACTTTGTGGACTATCTCCAGACTAGTGACTCAGGACTGAACTTTGACTACGGTAACAGTAACCTTTCCCCCGGGACCAGCACACGCGGGTTGCGTTCTGCTCAGGTTGCAAACGGGGCTCCGGAATGGATCCCGTTCACAATCAGAGGTACCACTGTATTTGTAACTAAGTCTGCCTTCAGGAATCCAACTGTGAACTGATGTGAGTAAACTTCTTTTATTGATTTTGAATAAGATTGCGGTGTCTTTATTCTTTTAAGAGGGATCTAAGGGAACTTACCAGGAACGTACAATTCAATCTGAGACAGATTGAATTGTATAGTAGTGAGAGGCTCACACGAGCCTGCAACCAGCTATCTGCTGTGCATGAAAAGGGGAATGTAACTGTGCTACAAAGGAACTTGCTAGCGCAAGTTAGGAAGGATTTTAATAAACAATATATCCTCCCCTGCCACTCTGAACATTCCCACATTGGGAAGGAGGCACGAGGCTCTGGCAGGGTCCAGGCATCCTTCCAGCTCTCTCTCTCAAACATTTTTTTAATTTAATTTCACTTTTAACATTTATCATCATAATCATCATAACATTTATCATCATAATCATTTTACAAATAGGATTCTCAAAATCCCCGAACTTCCTTCCATGTTTTCCCCAGATATTCTTTTCAAACTGCTTCATATCATATTCTCCATCTTTTCCTAAAACTCAGTTTTTTATCATAGTTCTCTGTGGTGTAGTGGTTAAGAGCTGTAGTCTCATAATCTGATGAACTGGGTTCGCGTCTCCGCTCCTCCACATGCAGCTGCTGGGTGACCTTGGGCCAGTCACATTTCTCTGAAGTCTCTCAGCCCCACTCACCTCACAGAGTGTTTGTTGTGGGGGAGGAAGGGAAAAGGAGATTGTTAGCCGCTTTGAGATTCCTTAAGGGGAGTGAAAGGCGGGATATCAAATCCAAACTCTTCTCTTCTTCTTCTCTTCTTCATTGCAAGTGTTTTTAAAATCCTGCTAATATTTTCAATTGTTTACATTGGTGGGCTCCTCTGTCACCATGTTACATCTTCTCTATGCAGACTTTGTCTCTTCACTGCGGGGTCTGGAGAGAAAACGGGGGTTCATCAGGTTGGAAACTTCAAAGTTAACCCCGTTTTGGTGTTGCTTTTATTTGCTTTCCTGGGCAGCACCAGAGAACAGTGATGGCATGGGCTGCTCCCCCCCCCCCCTAGAAGCAGAATGCACTTTTGAAAGAAGTGCTCTCTCGTTGGTTGGTTTATATTGGCTGGAGAATCCAGGCATCCTTTACATGGAGTTTAGGACTTGCATCCAGTGCAACACTGAGTAACTTGTTCTGTTAGTGCATGGATTTATGCTTGCTCAATGGAACTTTCTCCTGTACTCCCATGTGGCCCCTAAATCTGTTCTGGGCTTTCCCTGACCCTCCAGAGCAGATTCGAGGGAAGGAGAAGGGAAGTCCATTGTGCAAGTGTAAATCCTTCTGCTAATGGAACAAGTACCAGGGATGCCATCCTAGGGGCTGTACCAAATACGTCTACTTACAGAAAGGCCCATTTGAATGGATTAATCTAAGTGAGTCACGCCCTATATTTTCAGTGGGTGTTTTTTCGTATCTGACGTCCAGGCGTCACGCACAATGTTGTGACGTCGCACGTGATGCCTGGACGCAACGCAAGCCCCCACAATCTCTTTCTCGAGTCGGCGTGCCTGCCCTCAGGTCACTTCTCTCCCACCTCTGCTCCCGTGGAAAAACTGAAAGAGAGAAAGCGTGTACACATGAGTTTCCCTTTTCCAAGGGATCTCAGTAAAAGCTGAATCCAAATAGAATGAATCTGAACCTTGGAAAGGTCATAGAGCTGAAGGAGGAAGTGGGAAAGAGCGTCTCTCTTCCAGCTTTCATTCTTCAGCTTTGTTTGCTTTTCAAGGGAAAAATGGGTAACCATTCTCACCACCTCAGGGAAGACCTGAAGGTTGCCATTGCCTTTTGGTGACCCTCAGTTTAACTCATTTAATCTAGCCTATAAATTACCCAGGGCAGGCCCCTTTATATTCTCTTCAATTAGAACACCAGGCTTAATGACAGCACTGAAAGGAAAGACTGCCTCGTTGTAGGGGTGCCTTACAAAGCTCATCTAAGGCCTTACCTGTCTGGAATGGCAACATTTTCATAGGCAGGAGGGTGACATGTTGGCGGTTCAGGTGCCTCAACAGTGGAAGTATTTTCAGTCCGACATCGGCCACCTGAGGGAGAGAGGCTACTGGAAACCAAATCTTAACATTCAAGCTTTCCATTAGTTGTTACTTTTTAAGAATATACGATATGTGTTGCTTAGAGCAGTGTTTCCCAACCGGTGTTCCGCGGCACACTGGTGTGCCGTGAGACCTTGCCTGGTGTGTCATGGGAGGGAGGCGGGAGAGGCGGGGCGGCGGCATCTCCTGATGGATGCAAATCCAAACATGGCGGGCGCCTCCCTCGCTCCTTTGTAGGCGGACCATCGAGAGAGAAAGAAAAGGAGGCGAAAGAGCGAGAGAAGGCGCCTGCGCGGAAAGAGGAGCGAGCAGTGCGCCTGCGCGCCGCGGCGCCCGAGATCGCTTCTCCCCACTGCCCCTTGCTTCAAAAGAGGTCCGGAGACAGCGGGAAGCGCTTCGCGCTGCCCCCGGACCTCTTTTGAAGCAAGGCTTTGCGGGGAGAAGCGATCTCCCCGCAGCCCCTTGCTTCAAAAGAGGTCCGGGGGCAGCGGGAAGTGCAGCGCTTCTTCCCCGCTGCCCCCGGACCTCTTTTGAAGCAAGGGGCTGCGGGGAGATCGCTTCTCCCGGTGCTCCGAAGCGGGGCGGGGGGGCGGGAACACCTGCCCCAGCCGCCCCGCTTCGGAACGCTGCTCCGAAGCGGGGCGGGGGGCGGGAACACCTGCCCCAGCCGCCCCGCTTCGGAACGCTGCTCATAAGCGGGGTGGTGGGGCGGGAACCTCGCACCCCGCCGCCGGGCATCGGAATGATGCCCCGATGCCGGGCGGTGGGGCGGGAACCTCTCCCCCCACCGCCGGGCATCGGAACGATGCCCCGATGCCGAGCGGTGGTGCGGGCACCTCTCCCCCCGCCGCCCGGCATCGGAACGATGCCCCCATGCCGGGCGGTGGGGCGGGAACCTCGCACCCCGCCGCCGGGCATCGGAACGAGGTCCTGGACCTCTTCTGAAGGCAGGCGGGGGCAAAAGTCTTTGCTCCCCCCGCCTGCCTTCCCGGGACAGCGGAGACTTCTCCGCTGCCCCGGGCGATCTTAAAATGCTGGCGGGCGGGAGCGAAGCGTTCGCTGCCGACCCCCAGCATTTTAAAATCTCCTCGGGGCAGTGGAGACTTCGCTCCCGCCCGCCAGCATTTTAAAATCGCCCCGGGACAGCAGGGGCTTTTAAAATGCTGGCGGTCGGCAGCAAAGCCCTCCTGTCCCCGGAGCTTGCGGGGCGGGAGGTGGGAAGAAGGGCTTTTCTT